CACTTCCATCTGTATTAGAACTGTCAATGGGGAACAGAAGTGTCCCAATTCGCCGAGGAGTGAGGAGTTTCTTACCACGAGGCATGGTGAGCAAGGTGTACTAAAATGACATTCCCACAATGTACCACTGAGTCCCAGAATTTTTTCCTACTGTGCACACTGACCATGCAGACCCATTCTCTCACATCTAGGCCTACCAGCTGTTTCCCGCTTAATTTGAAGCCGCTAGAATTCACGTGTACTAGTACGGCACCAACCTTGGCACGCAAGCCGTACTAGTATGGCACCAACCCTGAAAGGGTTAAAGTACAGGCATTGTACTTCTCATTTCCAGGACTCAAGTCCAGTTAACCAGTTCCCCTGAATCCCTTCACAAAATATTACCCTGTTCACACTCCAACAGCTCGTCAGGTCCCAAAAACCATCCGTCTCCAATCACTCTTATCTAACATGCTCTCACACTCTTGCTGGAAGTCCAAACCCCTTGCCCACAACAAAACCTCCTTTACCTACCCCCTCCAACCAATTATTTATTATCAAAATTTAAATGTGAATGCTGTAACTAATATAAATAAAATGTCTTCAGAGACATCAACAAAATAAAAATTATAGAACATTTGGCTAAAACATCATAAATATTTGATGTCATTTTATTCATCAGGTGTACAGTAAATAAAAATTAATAAAATTAATTTAAGATTAAAATAAACTTCAACTGAACTTTAATGTTTTCATGGCTAATATTGCTGACCACTATTCACCAGAACTCTGGTATCAGTTTACATTTTTAAAATGCATATAACCTATGTACACCATGGAAAAAGTACAGTATTTCTTGTGCAAATTGTTATTGTATAGGGGATATTAGCAAAAATAGTACACTAATTTTGGTTGTGCAGCACATTAGCAATACTAGTACATTAATTTTGGTTGTGCAGCACATATAAGTCAATCAACACAGTACTGAGTCGTATCACACACCAGCCAAATGTACATAAAGATGTGCCACATGATGGGAGTTAGGTTTTTTGTTTGTTGCGGGGATTCATTAGGTTTTGTTTAATGACGACATATTGTGTAGATATTATCCAACTGCAACCTAAACTTAATATTTTACAATTCAAATATAATGCCAAAATCAGCTAGTGGCGGGGTAACTCTGACAGGGAACTTGGTACTCGAACTTAGGGTGGTTCAGAGTGTTAAGTGCCATCTGTTCGAGTACAGAGATTTCCAACAATTTTCTTTTGGTTGGCTTTATGCTAACCTCTTAGGCCCCCATGGTGACTCATTTATACAATATAAAACATAACACCAAAAATGCGAGGTAAACTACCGGCGATTGGACGCGATATAGAGTCTCAACTCAGCGTCGGAACCACTGACCAGCGCACACATTAGAGGTTCTCCAAAGGTCTATTTCTACACTAGGTGCAAATATACTGTTGGATGAATATTTTTCCAACCAATCTGGTTATGGTTAGGCGCGGGCTGGAGTTTTGAGCTATGACCCCTGGGTTCAATCCGGCCTGGGGTCATGGTTTATTTGCAATAGTGTCATTACGAATTTCATAAGTAAATGCGAGGAAAGACGAAACAGTTTAGAGCAAAGTTCTGGCAGGTCATATTTGTTTGGTCGAGTGCCAAGCAAATGGTCAACTATCAAGCAATACATTTACCAAACGACTGAATTGTTCGAGTACGGAGCTGTTCGAGTACCAAGGTTCCACTGGATTACAATCTTTATAAATGCATAATACAATATATATTGTAATATTATTCAGGATTTTTTGAATACTTGTATAGTAAGAAAATTAAACAATTCAAGGTACTGTACATGTTTAGTTATCAACTGCAGCATTGTCAATATCAGCATTACTTAGCAGCATGTGTCAGGCATTACCTTACACATCTGAGCTATTTATATGATGGTTAAGAAATACACAGTTCAGTTGCTTATTTTCTACTCTAAGTTATACATTTTGTTGAAAACATGATTACTTCATTATTATTATTATGATTATTAAACCCATAATAATAATCAATGTGAAATGCTAAAACCTTTGGGGCTAAACAAAGCCTGGGAATGGGCAGATATTAAGGCTGAGAAAAGGAAGAGAAGTCATTTGAATGTAATGGCAGTGTACTTCTGGGAAGAGTGAATGGGTGACAGCTGGGTCACCCTACCTCTGTGGGAAAAAACCAGAATGTAAAAATGAGGATAGGTCCAGCTTTTTGAATCAAGGCACCTCCTTCACAGGGGAGGAGTGCAACAGACAAGTGTAGTAGTAGCAGCAGCAGCAACACACACAGCAAGAGGCATTCTTGAGCTTCTCCGGCACTCGGGCTCAATGCCCAAAGCTGGAGTTAACTCCAAAAGGATCCTGTAATGCTTGCTGCCTTTGCACCTCCTGACATCGTCTGCTGCTATGCAGCTGCCACACCCTTCGAGCCCAGTGTGGGTGGGGTATGTGGCAGCCTAAGGTGTCTAGCTTCTCCCTCTGAGCCCCACGGGGGTGGGGAATGGGGCTAGGCCTCGGGAGAGTTGGTCTCAAAGAAACGAGGAGATACTTGTACCTCCTCCCATAGCAGACATTAGTCTGAGACACCACTTCCTTGACATGGAGCCAAGTCCCGGGCCACCTCTTGGAAAAGGCCCAGGCTGGGCGATTGTACCAGCGAATCTACAACAGGACATCTTTCATAGGATATAGTGAACGTGAATAATTGCCAAACATTTACCAAAGGCAAAGTATTGGCTACACAAGCATGTTGTCTGTTAGCTTCCAGTTTTGTATCATGGCCACAAGCCACTTGACCTCCCCCCCCCCAAGGCTTTCTCAGTAGGAATGCAATACATACTACCTGTTTCAGCAATGCACAGCATAGTAGGTTTCAGGCATTTCAAAATCATTCAATAAACACTGTTTTGCTGAAACTTGTGAGAGGTAAACTTAGTATTACTGGTATGTTGAAAGCACAAGCCTAACTGCCAATACGGTAGATGCACACCCTCTGTTGCCACTTACAAACATTATCCCACAGTTTATCAATGTAACATTCACAACTAGACTGAAAGTCTTTTAAGAATTAAATACCTATACAGTGGACCTTCGAATTTCATCATCCCTTTTCTGTACATAAAACAACAGTTGTTCTCTATAAAATGTATTTTGTTAATATTTCCCATAAGAAATATTTTAAATCCAATTAATCCATTCCAGACACCCAAAAATATTAACAAAAATACATTTTATAGAGAATAACTATAGTTTTACATACAGAAAAGGGATGATGAAATTCATGGACTACCTGAATGGGCTACCAGATCTACTACAATGTTACTCCTAACTTTATTTTCATAAAAAAAAAAAAATACATAAAGAACAAAAAGGCAGAATACCACGACTGGAACAATATACAAATAACCCATACACAGGGTATTATTATTATTATTACTATTACTATTATTATTATTATTATTATTATTATTATTAATTATAATCTATATTATTTTGTATTATTATTATTATTATTTCATTATTATTGGATGATACTTATATTATTATTATTACATTTATATTATATATGTACTTATTATTAATTAGTTATTATTCAATTATAACTATTGTTTATATTATTATCTCCTATTTATTATTATTTTATTATTATATTGGTATATATTATTCATGTATAATATTATTATTCATATTATATTCATTATATCTATTATTTTTATATTATTGGGAACAGTGCTAAAGCCATAGTATATACAGCACAATGGGGAGGAGCAGCTACAATGTTTCAGTCTGACTTGACCATTTACCAAAGTCAACTGTGACTTTGTAAATAGTCATGTCAAACGAAACATTGTTGTAAGTTCTCTCTCCATGTCGATTTTTGTTTGTTATGTAGGTAGTACATTGATTCATGGAGAGCACTAAACTGCAAATCGTACAGCACTAAGATAATGGGCATGAATCATATTTGATACAATGTGGGAGGCTAACAGCCAATTTTTTGGTTGCGATCCTTGCCCAGCATATTACATAGCTTTTCAAGCTTAGACAATTGCTAGCAAGAGAAATAGATTTCCCACATTTATGTTCATGAAGCAAATTATTTTAAGGTAAAAACTGCAGATGTACAATATAAATGTGATGTGACTCTGAACATTTCTTGCAATGTAGTTATGAACCAGTTTTTCAGTCAAACTATTGTCTCCACATAGTTAAAATGGACTTTTTGTAGTTGAGCAATTAGTGATAGCCAAGAAAGATATTGCTGTATATTTCAATTTCAATTCTTAACTGAATGTGTTATAATTCACTCTTACACTTAATCCAGTTTTACTATATTTTCAGTATATTAGTTAGTTATTCCAGTCATGTTATTGCGACTTACTGGGAGTTGGAGGCAATCAAGTTTGATCCAAGGAAGGGAAGGATAACTTCAATTATTTGGAGATAAATCCTTTACCAGCAATAACCGAGAAATTTAAACTATTACGTTCTTGCAAATTGTAAATCATCCACAATTCTCAGTAAAGTGTATCCTGCCAAATACAAAATAAGGATAAATGAGTTTAGTTTTTTGGATTAAAACCTATCATGATAATCTACACAATATCATGAATATTTTCCACAAAATTTGAGCTTAATTAAGTCATCAACTCAAATGTTTTATGCAGACACCTGTGTATATCAGTGACAACCGTAAAATGATGGAAAATGTTTGACGAAATTTGCCTTCAGACAGTTTAAATAAGAGAACAGCTTGCAATAACTGTATATACGATGTATGTAATATAATATTGGTGATGTGGGGCGAGTGTTGGGTGTCTGAGGTTGGCAGTATTCCGCTGCTAACACATCTTCCTCTCTCACGTTTATCTCGTGTCTTGCCGCCGCCTAACTGCGGAAACCATGCTTGTCACACGCTACATGTAATATTCTATTAACCTCCGACGGGGAAAGACATAAGGCAGGTAATATACTTACGTTACAAAGACGTTACTACCTCACTTGATGGACAAAATGGAGTTGTTCCAACATTACTGCTACCCACCACCTTTATCCTCACAGTTATACACATTACACTTTATGAGGCTGTGAATGTTTGATAGCAAAACTTATCGAAGGTTCTACCTGTCCTATAATTTAGTGTGGATACCTAAAAGGCCTAAACTTATGCACAAATTTTCTTTCATAAGACTTCCCATATTCTTCTTGATCTTCAAGACTGTGCACTTCCAATATTGATGATACTCCGTCTTCATTATTAACACTAAACATGTCACATGTAATATATCCTATAACTTCTTTCAAACATAATAATAATATTGATGATAATAATAATAGTTTTATTTTATCATGATACATGTTTGTACAGTGTAACAACTGAGTGAACATGCCAAAAGCCACTTTATATACACAGCATTTTGGGCAAACTTTAATCTTGAGAAAAATGAGCTGATGATGTATCTTTTATTAATTTATTTATTTATTAATTTGTACATGATACATTGAAGTACAAAGAAATACAGTGGTTAAGTGTAACACGCCAAAGCCCCTTGTATGCAGATTTTATTATTATTATTATAATCAAGGGGGAAGCGCTAAACCCGGAGGATTATACAGCGCCTGGGGGGGGGGATGTGGAAGGCATTCAGGCTTAATTCGGGGAACTGGAGCACAGATCCAATTCCCTAAATCAAGAGCCCCTCACCAACATCAAGGAACCTTCCTTTAAGAAGAAGTTTATCAGGTATACAAAAACAGTTACATGATTATCATACATAGCAGCATATGTGTAAGAACCTAGGTAACCAAAAAGTCAGACAGAGTGACTTATTCATGGGGTCCTTAAGGGGTTTTATGCAGAGCATTATGGCAGGCTTAAAATTAATTAAGATTAATAAGCAATGAAATATCAACCCCCCAAGGAAGGTTTCCTTGATGGGTTGGGGGAGGGGCTCTTGATTTGGAAATTGGATCTGTGCTCCAGTTCCCCGAATTAAGCCTAAAGCCTTCCACATCCCCCCCCCAGGCCTGTATAATCCTCCGGGTTTTAGCGCTTCCCCTTGTTAATAATAAATAAAAATATAAAATAATAAATGAAATATTCAGTGGTAAACATTATTATAAACAGATAACAATTAAGCACAAATGAGTATTACAAAGACAGGTCATATAGTCATTTACTGTTGCTGAGCATGCAGTAGAATGGAGTATTCTGTTAGGTAATGTAATTAAAATTATTATTATAATCAAAAAGAAGCGCTAAACCACAAAGGCTATACAGAGCTGTATGTAATTAAAAATAAAGTTTGATTGTGTCACAGTTTAAACATTTGAGATACAATTATTCAGTATTTATTTAGTTGTGGGCGAGTAAGTGATATTTAAGAAGAGACTTCAATTTATAAACAGACAGTGTTTCTTTTATATTCACAGGTAATGAATTCCAGATTTTTGGGCCTTTTATGTGCATTGAGTTTTTGCATAGTGTGAGATGGACAATGGAAGATTCACAGCTGGCAAGAGTAATGTTGAAGCCAGGAAACAGACCATCATTATCTTTTTTAATATATATAGGATGGGGGTCCACCTCTGGTGCAAAATGTGGGACCTAGAGCCTCGAAGATTATTGGATTTCCTGAAGCAATTTGAATATTCCACTTCCCCTGCCATCCCATCTTTTCATTCTGTGGAAAATACTGTATATATTTTCCAGAAATACAGTATTATTATAATCAAGGGGGGAAGCGCTAAACCCAGAGGATTATACAGCGCCTGGGGGGGAGGATGTGGAAGGCATTCAGGCTTAATTCGGGGAACTGGAGCACAGATCCAATTCCCTAAATCAAGAGCCCCTCACCAACATCAAGGAACCTTCCTTGAGGGGCCAGAAATACAGTAGTTATATGTAAATAGATGGCCATACTGTAATAATATTTGTCATAGAAAACGGAAAGCCTGCGTCTGCTCAGAAGACAGTCGCCATTGTTAATTTGAATTAGATACGTTAGTGTAATGGGAAGGAATTTTCGTGCTCTAGAGGTTAAAATTGGGCTGACACCTCTCAAATAGGAGGCGAAATTGTTGGATGTGCATTCCTGCATAACTTGAGATATCAGGCGACAGGACAGGATAACTCCAGGAACCTCAGATAAGTCTGTTACATTCTTTTTTTTTTTTTTTTTTTTTTTTTTTTTTTTTTTTTTTTTACCAATTGGTATATTTTATTACATAATATGGCACAAAAGAAAAGATTTGAGAGATACATTGTTGATATAAAGATGGTATATATAGTACATGGGGTGTACATGAGATACACGTCTAGTACATATTGTTACATGTTAGTCACTGATTATAATGCGAAAATCTCATCCAGCTCCTCAGCTGGGGTGCGTGTCCAAAATACAGCAGGCATTTACCCCTCATAAAAAATTATATATTTATATATTATATTATAATATATATATATATATATATATATATATATATAAATATATATATATAATTTTTTTTTTTAACAAGTCGGCCGTCTCCCACGGAGGCAGGGTGACCCAAAAGGAAAGAAAATCCCCAAAAAGAAAATACTTTGATCATTCAACACTTTCACCTCACTCACACATAATCACTGTTTTTGCAGAGGTGCTCAGAACACAACAGTTTAGAAGCATATATGTATAAAAATACACAATATATCCCTCCAAACTGCTAATATCCCAAACCCCTCCTTTAGAGTGCAGGCATTGTGCTTCCCATTTCCAGGACTCAAGTCCGGCTATATAAAAATAACTAGTTTCCCCGAATCCCTTCACTAAATATTACCCTGCTCACACTCCAACAGATCGTTAGGTCCCAAATACCATTCGTCTCCATTCACTCCTATCGAACACGCTCATGGACGCCTGCTGGAAGTCCAAGCCCCTCGCCCACAAAACCTCCCATACCCTTCCTTCCAACCTTTTCGAGGACGACTCCTACCCCGCCTTCCTTCCCCTACAGATTTATACGCTCTCCATGTCACTGATCCATTCTCTCTAAATGACCAAACCACCTCAATAACCCCTCTTCAGCCCTCTAATACTTTTATTAACTCCACACCTTCTCCTAATTTCCACACTCCGAATTTTCTGCATAATATTTACACCACACATTGCCCTTAGACAGGACATCTCCACTGCCTCCATAAAGCAAAAAAAAAAAAATAGATATTTAAATCCCAAGGAATCATCCGAGATATAGAATTTTCTTTAATTCACACAGTGACAGTGCCTGGTGGCAAAAGCTCTTGCTTCACACGGTCAGGGTCAGGCTTTGATTCTTGGCGAAGGAGGCAACACATTGGCCATGTTTCCTTACACCAGTTGTCTGTGTTCACCCATCAGTAAAATGGGTACCTGGGTGTTAATCAACTGGTGTGGGTCACATCCTGGGACAAAACTGACCTAATTTGCCTGAAATGCTCTGCACAACAAGCAGCTTTCTATATACAGTAGTAGTATGTCATTGATGTCAGCTAGGCCTGTATACCTTGTACATGTTAATTTGAACATTAATGTAGTAAATAAAGATATTACAGTGGTACCTACACTTACGAGTGCCCCAACTTAAGAGTTTTCCGAGTTATGAGCTGTTCGCTTTGTCGATTTTATGCTTTGAGTTGCAAGCCAAAATCCGAGTTAAGAGCGAGTTTCAGATATGCCGACATTAATCGGTACCATATCTGAAGTCAAATTCAACTCTGTACCCAGAGAAATGTCAGGTACTTCATCCCATCCCACATGCTCTTCCAAGACAACTGGAAGGCGAATACTCCCACACTAATCCCAGATTGTAGTAAGGCACCCCGTCCCTTGTTTGGTTCTCATATAAATCCGGGGAAGAGGTACCTCCATTTCAACACTCAAGAGTTTTTCCAGAAACATTAATTAATGTGTGTGGAGTACTGATAGTGGTGGATGGAGTAGTCATGGTGGTCAGTGAGTAGTGATAATGGAGGGTGGAGTAGATGTGGTGGGTGTAGTAGTGAGGGTGGTGGGCGAGTATACAATATTTCCTATTTCTAAATACATTTTTCTTATTTAAAAACCCATATAAAAAAATTTTTTTTTTTTGGGGGGGGGTTGAAATGAATTAATGGCACTTTAATTAATTTCAATGAAGAAAATTGATATGCAAACTGAGTTACGAGCTGGGTCACAGAACGAATCAAACTCGTAAATCAAGGTACCACTGTATTATTATTATTATTATTATTATTATTACTGTTTATATCTATAGTACTGTGGAGAGATCCTAACTACATTCAGACTACATGTAACTACAATCAAATCTTATTCCTTAGGTAGCATTAAAAATGGGTTGGACAAATATTTTTGTTTGTGTGTGAAGTTGAAGCATGAGAATGGAGTCTTAAATACTGTCGAAGGTGAGGTGGAAGATCTCAAAGATGTAAGGGACGGGATCCATAGTATTTCAGACTATTCTCATGCTTCAGCTTCATATCATTCTAGAGTATGAAGCTGAACTCTTCTCCAGGCTGAGGGACTGACCACCTCACTATACTTTTTCTCTAAGACTGATAGACTGATTATTATATTATTGTATAATCATGGGGGAGTACTAAACCAGGATGGACTGATTACATCTTTATTTCATTTCTACTGCTCCCTTTGTATTTGACTGAAGAAGCCTGCTGTGTAATAATAATAATAATAATAATAATAATAATTTTAATTTAAGCATACAAACAGAGGTACAAAAAATACAGGTAAGAGCAGCATGCCAAAGCCACTTATATGCATAGCATTACGGGCTGGCTTAAAATTAACTTAAGATTAACTAAGCAATGATGAAATCAGTGATAAAACATTATTGTAAACAGATAACTATAAAGCACAAATGAGTATTACAAAGACAGGTCATATGGTTGCTTGCATTGCTGTACATTCAGTTGAATGGAGTATTCTGTTAGGTAGTGTATTTAAAAAAATAATAAAGTTAGATTGGGTCCTAGGTTTAACATTTGTGTGATATAATTGTGAGTAACATATAGGATATACAATTTATAAGGTTCAGTTATTCAGTATTTATTTGGTTTTGAGTGAGTAAGTGATCTTTGAGAAGAGACTTGAATTTATAAACAGGTAGTGTTTCTTTTATATTTACAGGTAATGAATTCCAGATTTTAGGGCCTTTTATGTGCATTGAGTTTTTGCATAGCGTGAGATGGACACGAGGAACATCAAAGAGTGATCTGTGCCTTGTGTTATGGTCATGTGTTCTGTTGAGGTTGGCAAGGAGATGTTTGAGGGGAGGGTTAATATCAGAGTTAAGTGTTCTATGTATGTAATAGGTGCAATAATAAGTATGGATGTTTTGTATGGTGAGTAGGTTGAGTGTTTTGAATATTGGTGGAGTGTGTTGCCTGTAGTGAGAATTTGTTATCATTCTAACTGCAGCCTTTTGTTGGGTAATTAGTGGTCTGAGATGGTTAATTGTTGTTGAGCCCCATGCACAAATTCCATAGGTGAGATAGGGGTAAATAAGAGAGTGATAAAGGACCAGGAGGGCTGACTGTGGAACATAGTACCGTATCTTCGATAGTGTGCCTACAGTCTTGGAGATTTTCTTAGAAATTTGTTGTATATGTGTATGAAATTTGAGTCTATTATCGAGGTGGATTCCTAGGAATTTTCCCTCTGTTAGCTTTGTGATAGGTGATCCGTTTATTGTTATGTTAAGAGGTACATCTGTAGCTCTGTTACCAAACTGAATGAAGTAGGTTTTGTCAATGTTTAGTGTAAGTTTGTTAGTCCTCATCCAGGTAGATATTTTCTGTAATTTGGTGTTTACAGTATTGGCTAGCGTGACTGGGCTCGGGTGAGAGAAGACGTATGTAGTGTCATCTGCAAAAAGTGTGGGTTTGAGTAATTGCGAAGCATTTGGTAGGTCATTTATGTATAGGAGAAAGAGAAGAGGGCCAAGGACACTTCCCTGTGGGACACCAACTGTAATTGGTTGTGCGGAAGAGCTTGCCCCATTTGCGTACACATATTGGCTTCTGTTGCTGAGGCAAAATGTTTCATCAATAAAGATACTCGACTATTGCACACGTCTCTTAATCTTCAACTTGTTGGTATTTTATACCATTTTCGACAATACAGCCTGTCCTCACTGAACAATGGAGTTCTGTTCCAAAGTTCACATCGGTAAATGAATTATTCAGTAAGTGAGGAGCATACTATAATGGTAGTGGGTTTGTGTCAACCATCTTTGATACTGTTTTCATGTCACCTTTGCACCATTTATACATTTCTGGTATACAGTATTTTTAAATGTTTATACAGTAGTGCACTGTATATTGTAATAAACAGAACAGAGGAAATCAGCTGTAATATACATTATTTAAATATGCATACTGGTCAGACAGCCCATCATAAGTCCAAGGTGTCAGTCAAAGAGTACATCACTAAGTAAGGTGAGGCTGTTCTGTCAGACACTGCAGCACAACAGTATCTTGGTACAGAAGACATCTTCCATTCTTCGTCACATATCTACTATAGTTATGAGTGAGAAAGGTTAGAGTCCGGCTGGACCTGCCTTCTTACTGCCACTAGTGGGTAAGTTTTAACCGGGCCGCGGGGGCGTTGACCCCCGGAACTCTCTCCAGGTAAAACTCCAGGTAAACTAGTACGGCTTATGCACCAGGGTTTTTGACGTGCAAGTACGCCTAAATTCTAGTGCCCTCAAATCTAGTGAGAGAAAGCTGGTAGGCCTACATATGAAAGAATGGGTCTATGTGGTCAGTGTGCACAGTATAAAAAAAATCCTGCAGCACACAGTGCGTAATGAAAAAAAAAAAACTTTGACAGTGTTTTTGGTTTAAAACAGCCACTTTGCACCATATTTTCGTATGGTATTTATGATGGTACTCTAGTTTTCCTGGTCTCATTTTATAGAATGGAAGACATATTACAGAAAATGAGATGATTTTGATTGGTTTTACACTGAAAAGTACCTTGAAATTGAGCTCAAAGTAGCAGAAATGTTCGATTTTTGCCAAATTTCAAAAGTAAACAAATCATGCTATGCGTCCAATACACATCAACTGGTGAGTCTAATATTCTTTCACAAGTGTGCTGATATTATATATACCATTTCTACACTAATGCAGTAGTCTGTATAACAGTAAATCATCTATTTTTTGTGAGAATAAAAATTCAAAATGGAAAGCAAAAGAATGTAAGAGGGGCATGGGGACGTGACTAATGAACAGAGGAAATGTTATTTTAGTGCCAGGAATGTCTTTCTTGTTTATTCTGGACCCTATTTGGAGATTGGCATCTTTTGAAATTTGTGTGAAATTGGCAAAATTGCTAAATTCTGACCACTTTATTGGATAGCTGAAATCAGTAAATGGGTGGTTTCTTGCACTCATTAGTTAGAAAAAATGGAGTTCTAGCGAAATAGTTATGATTTTTGTCGACTGATACACTGGAATTGGCCTAAAATAGAGCTCAAAGTGGGCAAAATTGCCGATGCGTAAACATCATCGAGACCGCTAACTTCGCGAGAGCATAATTCTGTACGTTTTCCATCAAATTTCATACTTTTGGTGTCATTATGATCGGGAAAAGATTCTCTATCTTTTCACAAGAAATAATAATTTTTTTTTTAAATTTGGTGACCCTGAGAACAAGTCTGGGAGAGGGCCTGTCGACCCTGAAAGGGTTAAACCCCCACAAGCTTTAATTGTATAGTCTTACAAGTATATAGTACACTCAATGTAGATTTATTCATATTTAAAAAATGGTCATACTGGATTTACGTAGTAATTTAATTGTTGTAATGAATGGTTATTTAAGAGCTATTACTGGATTAATTTTTGAAGACTGCATTGTTATCAGCTCACCGAATTTCTTAAAGTCCAAGAGAGATCAGCTGGAAAAGAAACTGAGCTTGCACTGAAAGCAGTTATATGTTCTTGTTACTTCACTGCACCAGCTCAAGCAGACAGTTTATAAATAATTCCCCTTCACAGAATGAGCTGTGTATTGTAGATAAAATAATTGACTTGACAGCAGCACCAACACAGACTGTTAACTGAATACTTCTATAGACAGAAAAAAAAAATTTACTGGAGACTTATAAGCATCTTTACTTGAGCACATTTTATTACAATTAAAAGTAAATTACCATTTATAATTTGTTAGTCATAAAACAAAATACACAGGAGGCTGCAGTTATATTAATTTGATAAACAATATTGTACCTTAAATCACTATTTGCACAATTTTTTTTTTTTTTTTTTTTTTACAAATACAATACAGAATGATTTCACCCTTACTCTGCAATGTGTCCTGTGTAAGCCATATTGTAATGGTACAGTGATGACCTATGACATATTATTCATATGGTAGTCCTAAACTCAACTCTGCAAGAGTAGCAGCGTTTTAAATATACTGTAGTGAAAAAATGTGACAAAGGCCTGGGTCATTCTCTGAGAAATAGGATGCCTTCAAGTTTGATCCACAGAAAGGAAAAAATCTAATTCCTTGGATCAAGAGTTGCCAGCAACAACTCTCCTCAAGGTAGGTTCCTTGATGCAGGACTCTTGATCCAAGGAATTGGACCTGCCTATCTTCCTTGGATAGTACCCGAGTGCCTCCCATTCCCTCAGGCATTATATGACCCCTGTGGGTTTAACACTTCCCTGTGAATGTAATTAATAATCACCAGCATCAAGAAATCTTTCCCTTGAGGGGTTATTTTTCTTAACCAAGCAAAAGAAAGAAAAATTACCCTGCCCAATCATGTTGATTTTATACTAGTTAGCTCAATGTATTCAGTCAACCAGGATCATCTTGTTGATTTAGTGGCTACACAGTGGCAAAGTTTAACAGGTGTGTAAATAGTATGCATTTATTGGGAAGTGCTAAACCTGTAGAGGCAATATAGCACCTGAATAATGGAAGGTACAGTAATTAGGTCTGATGGAAATGGGAGGATGGTTCCAATTCCTTGCATCAAGAGCCCTTCAGTAGCATTAAGGCACCTTCTCCTGAAAGAAATATATACAGTAATGAATGCAATATTACTCTCATGAGGGAAGCAATAAACCTGCAGCTTGCAGCATGGAGGATTCTGAGTGCTCTCTCATACACAGGACAGTCTAATACGTATATGGTTAATTTTTGGAGCCATGTATCAGACCTTGCAGTGAGGTGCTGGGTATCTCTGCACATGGTGCCAGTACAAGAGTTGTGTGGCACTGATTTGTAAATGTGTGGGTGCTGCTACCATTTCATAATATATTTTTTGTCAAGAAATGCAATAGAGAAGTTTACAAAAAAAAATTCAATCTAGTGTTCTGTATTATTAGTATCATAATCAAGGGGAAGCACTAACGTTCAGGTCTTATGCACCTGGGGCAGAGCCAATCAGGTCTAAGCAAGAAAGAGAAAGATGGATAGGCAGACACCTTTGATAAGATATATGTATGTCAAGGTATGCATTGAGGGGTTAATTTGGTGCAGTTTGAATATCAAAAAATGTGTGGGAGTGTGTGTGGTTGACTGTGTGTGGGGCCTGTGTGTGTGTGGCGTGTGGGTTTGGGCGTGTGTGTGGCGTGTGGGTTGTGTTGGCGGTGTGTGTGTGTGTGTGTGTGTGTGTTGTGGCGTGTGTGTGTGTGTGGCGTGTGTGTGTGTGTGGCGTGTGTGTGTGTGTGCGTGTGTGTGTGTGGCGTGTGTGTGTGTGGCGTGTGTGTGTGTGGCGTGTGTGTGGCGTGTGCGTGTGTGTGGCTGTGTGCGTGTGTGTGTCTGTGTGCGTGTGTGTGTGGCGTGTGTGTGTGGCGTGTGTGTGTGGCGTGTGTGTGTGGCGTGTGTGTGTGGCGTGTGTGTGGCGTGTGTGTGGCGTGTGCGTGTGTGTGGCGTGTGCGTGTGTGTGGGCGTGTGGTGTGCGGGGTGTGTGGCGTGTGCGTGTGTGTGGCGTGTGTGGTGTGTGTGGCGTGTGTGTGGCGTGTGTGTGGCGTGGGGTGTGTGTGGCGTGTGTGTGTGTGTGTGTGGCGTGTGTGTGTGTGGCGTGTGTGTGTGTGTGGCGTGTGTGTGTTGTGTGTGTGTGTGTGTGGCGTGTGTGTGTGTGGCGTGTGTGTGTGGCGTGTGTGTGTTGTGTGTGTGTGTGGTGTGGCGTGTGTGTGTGTGTGTGTGTGTGTGTGTGGCGTGTGTGTGGGTGTGTGTGTGTGTGGGTGTGTGTGTGTGTGGCGTGTGTGTGTGTGTGGCGTGTGTGTGTGTGTGGCGGTGTGTGTGTGTGTGGCGTGTGTGTGTGTGTGGCGTGTGTGTGTGTGTGGCGTGTGTGTGTGTGTGGCGTGTGTGTGTGTGTGGCGTGTGTGTGTGTGTGGCGTGTGTGTGTGTGTGGCGTGTGTGTGTGTGTGAGGGTGTGTGTGTGTGTGTGTGTGTGTGTGTGTGTGTGTGTGTGTGTCATGTGTGTGTGTGGCATGTGTGGCGTGTGTGTGTGGCGTGTGTGTGTGGCGTGTGTGTGTGGCGTGTGTGTGTGTGGCGTGTGTGTGTGTGGCGTGTGTGTGTTGGCGTGTGTGTGTGGGTGTGTGTGTGTGGCATGTGTGTGTGTGGCATGTGTGTGTGTGGATGTGTGTGTGGCGTGTGTGTGTGTGGGTGTGTGTGTGTGTGTGTGGCGTGTGTGGCGTGTGGGTGTGTGGCGTGTGTGTGTGTGGCGTGTGTGTGTGTGGCGTGTGGTGTGTGGCGTGTGTGTGTGGCGTGTGTGTGTGGCGTGTGTGTGTGGCGTGTGTGTGGCGTGTGTGTGGCGTGTGTGTGTGGCGTGTGTGTGTGGCGTGTGTGTGTGGCGTGTGTGTGTGGCGTGTGTGTGTGGCATGTGTGTGTGGCATGTGTGTTTGTCCTGCATGTGCCATGTGTACACAAACACACAGTGCCAAACTACATACTGCTCATTCTTTAAAAGTCTAAACTTACTTAATATGTACATAAAATTCATTTATACTACATACACAAGGCAATCAATTCTAATATCAATCATACCCTGAAACAGAACTCATAGGCATAATACGAGACAAAAATCTCCGATATTCCCACGTCCAGCTCAAACTTTTTAAAAACTCAAATGTCCATAAAAGGACCCCAAGATCTGGAACTCCCTACCAGAAAAATCCACATTCTCTGCCAGCTGCTTCAAAGCTTTTAAACACCTTACCTTAATGTGATCCTATAAACAATTAGACCTGTTACTGTCATTCCTTCTACGCAGTGTATCTAGCTTTATCCAATATAATAAAAACTAAATATTCTTATTATCATAATTTAGTTTTAAGGCGGCCAAAATTCTTTCATAATAAAGGTCCTTCTATGCCAGTTACCCTAATTTTAAAATATACTGTACACCACTGTATGTGTGTGTGTATATACTCACCTATTTGTACTCGCCTACTTGTGGTTGTAGGGGTCGAGTCATAGATCCTTGCCCCGCCTCTTCACTGATTGCTACTGGGTCCTCTCTCCCTGCTCCATGAGCATTATTAAACCTATTCTTAAAACCATGTATGGTTCCCACCTCCACTACGTCACTCTAGGCTATTCCACTGCCTGACAACTCTATGACTGAAGAAATACTTCCTAACATCCCTTTGACTCATCTGAGTCCAACTTCCAATTTTGACCTCTTGTTTCTGTGTCCCATCTCTGGAACATCCTGTCTCTTTCCACCTTGTCTATTCCAGGCAGTATTTTACACGTCGTTATCATGTCTCCCCGACCCTCCTGTCCTCTAGTGTCGTCAGGCCAATTTCTTCGTAGGACAGTCCCCTTAGCTCTGGGACTAGTCTTGTTGCAAACCTTTGCACTTTCTCTAATTTCTTGACGTGCTTGAACAGGTGTGGATTCCAAACTGGTGCTGCATACTCCAGTATGGGCCTGATGTAAATGGTGTACAGAGTCTTGAACGATTCCTTGCTCAGGTACTGGAACGCTATCCTTAGATTTGCCAGACGCCCATACGCTACAGCAGTTTTCTGAATGATGTTGCCTCAAGATCTTTTTACTTGAGCGATGTTTGCAGTCTTTAGCCACCTAGACTATACTGAGTCTGCGGTCTTCTTTGCCCTTCCCGATCTTCATGACTTTGCACTTGGCAGGGTTAAATTCGAGAAGCCAGTTGCTGGACCAGGTGTCCAGCCTGTCCAGGTCTCTTTGAAGTCCTGCCTGATTCTCATCTGATTTAATTCTCCTCATTAACTTTACATCATCTGCAATCAGGGTGTGTGTCTGTGTCTGTGTCTCTGTGTCTGTGTCTCTCAGTCTCAGTCTTAACCTATATTTGGTCTTTAAAACTACTTTTTAAATTTTCGTGTAGTAACTCTATTTCTATGCATTGTAAGCTCATGCCTTCTCAGGTTACAGTAATAAGATGCTCGATGTGAACAAAATCGACAAGAAAAAGGTTTCTCCCCAGTGTGAATCAGCATATGACCCTTCAAACGGGCTTTGTCCTTACAACGGTAGGGGCAGTGCTTACAAGCATATGGTTTTTCATGAATGACAATATGATCAACAAGGTTTAAAGCCTTCTTTGACTGATAAGCACATTTATTACAAAAGTATGTATCAACTTTTGTATCAGTAAGGACTGGAACACAAGAATATAGTAGCTTTTCTCTCTGAGTGCAGGCATGTCCATTAGCAGTTTTAAGGTATTTTGAAATAAAAGAACAAATTTGGCATACATACACACCATTTTCTAAATGAGTTTGAATATGCTTACTTAATGTTTCTTTTGAACTGGATTTATAAAGACAGAGATTGCAAGCAGATGACTCTTTTTTACAGCAACCACTAAAGTTAGGATCCACACCACAAAACATCTCATTTGAAACACAAAAGACATTATTTTGGTTATCTTCCTTTGTACCTGGCAAGGTGTACTTGATGGGCTCCTGGAATGACTGATGAGAATCAAATCTAACATTCTCACAAAGTTCTGGAGTCTTATCTGCTTTTTCCACAATCTAGAAGGATAAACAGTAAAATATCATTGTATTAAAATAACAGTACCCTACATGAGAATTTAAATATTGGACATGCATAAAAAATTGGTAGACGACGACGACTACTACTATACTACTACTACTATACTACTTATACTACTACTACTATACTACTACTATACTACTACTATACTACTACTATACTACTACTACTACTATTATACTACTACTACTATACTACTACTACTATACTACTACTACTACTATACTATACTACTACTACTATACTACTACTACTATACTATACTACTACTACTACTACTGATGATGCAGCATTAGAATGTGGGGCAAAAGTTTGTAGGTATAGGAGGGTGGGTGCAGGAGGAAAGAGTGACTGGTGGAATGATGAACTAAAGGGTGTGATAAAAGAGAAAAAGTTATCTTATGAGAGGTTTTTACAAAGCAGAAGCATTATAAGAAGAGTAGAGTATATGGAGAGTAAAAGAAAGGTGAAGAGAGTGGTGAGAGAGTGCAAAAGGAGAGCAAATGATAGAGTGGGAGAGGTAGTGTCAAGAAATTTTAATGAAAATAAGAAAAATTTTTGGAGTGAGTTAAACAAGTTAAGAAAGCCTCAGAACAAATGGATTTGTCAGTTAACAACAGAGTAGGGGAGTTAGTAGATGGGGAGATGGAGGTTTTGGGTAGATGGCAAGAATATTTTGAGAAACTTTTAAATGTCGACGAAGAAAGGGAAGCGGAAATTTCATGCACTGGCCAGGGAGGTATAACATCTTCTAGGAGTGAAGAAGAACAGGATGTGAGTGTGGGGGAGGTGCGTGAGGCATTACGTAGAATGAAAGGGGGTAAAGCAGCTGGAACTGACGGGATCATGATAGAAATGTTAAAAGCAGGGGGGGATATAGTGGTGGAGTGGTTGGTACTTTTGTTTAATAAATGTATGAAAGAGGGGAATGTACCTAGGGATTGGCAGAGAGTATGTATAGTCCCTTTATATAAAGGGAAAGGGGACAAAAGAGATTGTAAAAATTATAGAGGAATAAGTTTACTGAGTATACCAGGAAAAGTGTACGGTAGGGTTATAATTGAAAGAATTAGAGTTAAGACAATGTAGGATTGCGGATGAGCAAGGAGGTTTCAGAGTGGGTAGGGGATGTGTAGATCAAGTGTTTACATTGAAGCATATATGTGAACAGTATTTAGATATAGGTAGGGAAGTTTTTATTGCATTTATGGATTTAGAAAAGGCATATGATAGAGTGGATAGGGGAGCAATGTGGCAGATATTGCAAGTATATGGAATAGGTGGTAAGTTACTAAATGCTGTAAAGAGTTTTTATGAGGATAGTGAGGCTCAAGTTAGGGTGTGTAGAAGAGAGGGAGACTACTTCCTGGTAAAAGTAGGTCTTAAACAGGGATGTGTAATGTCACCATGGTTGTTTAATATATTTATAGATGGGGTTGTTCAGGAGAGGGGTGGGATTAAATTATGGGGAATCAAATTCAAAATGGGAATTGACACAGTTGCTTTTTGCTGATGATACTGTGCTTATGGGAGATTCTAAAGAAAAATTGCAAAGGCTAGCAGATGAGTTTGAGTGTGTGTGTAAAGGTAGAAAGTTGAAAGTGAACACAGAAAAGAGTAAGGTGATGAGGGTATCTAATGATTTAGATAAAGAAAAATTGGATATCAAATTGGGGAGGAGGAGTATGGAAGAAGTGAATGTTTTCAGATACTTGGGAGTTGACGTGTCGGCGGATGGATTTATGAAGGATGAGGTTAATCACAGAATTGATGAGGGAAAAAAGGCGAGTGGTGCGTTGAGGTATATGTGGAGACAAAAAAACGTTATCTATGGAGACAAAGAAGGGAATGTATGAAAGAATAGTAGTACCAACACTCTTATATGGGTGTGAAGCTTGGGTTGTGAATGCAGCAGCGAGGAGGCGGTTGGAGGCAGTGGAGATGTCCTGTCTAAGGGCAATGTGTGGTGCAAATATTATGCAGAAAATTCGGAGTGTGGAAATTAGGAGAAGGTGTGGAATTAATATAAGTATTAGTCAGAGGGCTGAAGAGGGGTTGTTGAGGTGGTTTGGTCATTTAGAGAGAATGGATCAAAGTAGAATGACATGGAGAGCATTTAAATCTGTAGGGGAAGGAAGGCGGGGTAGGGGTTGTCCTCGAAAAGGTTGGAAGGAAGGGGTAAGGGAGGTTTTGTAGGCGAGGGGCTTGGACTTCCAGCACGCGTGCATGAGCGTGTTCGATAGGAGTGAATGGAGATGAATGGTATTTGGGACTTGACGATCTGTTGGAGTGTGAGCAGGGTAATATTTAGTGAAGGGATTCAGGGAAACCGGTTATTTTTATATAGCCGGACTTGAGTCCTGGAAATGGGAAGTACAATGCCTGCACTCTAAAGGAGGGGTTTCGGGACATTAGCAGTTTGGAAAGATATGGTGTGTCTCTTTATATGTATATGCTTCTAAACTGTTGTGTTCCGAGCACCTCTGCAAAAACAGTGATTATGTGTGAGTGAGGTGAAAGTGTTGAATGATGATGAAAGTATTTTCTTTTTTGGGATTTTTTCTTTCTTTTTGGGTCACCCTGCCTCGGTGGTAGATGGCCGACTTGTTAAAAAAAAAAAAATAATAATGATGAGGGAAATTGCTAAACCATAAGGGTCATTTAGCACAGCGCAGTAGAGAGGCATACACCAGTGTCAAAAGAGATACAGAACTAAGGGAGGACAAGACAGTATAAGATGATGGTAGCTATAAAGTAAAGCAGTTCAACTACTGTGAAAGTGAAAGGTAAGAGAGGGAGGGAGCAGGATGAGAGAAAAGAACAGACACAGATGTGAGAGAAGGGAGAGAGAGAAGAGGAGAGAGAAAGAAGGGGGGAGAGAAAGAGGGGGAGGAAGAGAGAGAGAGGAAGAAAGAATAAGAAAGTGTAAGAGAGAAGAGAATGTAGGGAAAAAGGGATAAACAGACACAGACAATGTTGGGAAAAAGAAAGTACACTGTAATAAAACTTTACAGAGGTCAGGAACTAGGTTATTCAGTACTCCATCCAATTAAAAAATTTATACATGCATGCATGTTAACCACTTTCTCGTAGGCTAATATTCAACTTAAATACTGTATATTTATAACATGTTAGAGGACCCCACAAGGAATTAGAAAATACATATTTCTTGACACAATAACAGGAAAAATATGCAGGCATAATTACAAACTATTAAAAGGGTAGGTCACTAAAAACTGTAAACTAACAAAAATATTGGACATGGGACAGCATCATAGCACTGCTACTGTAACTACAAATAGTTATTCACAAGCAAATAATAACAACACTGATGGGCATATACAACATACCTTTTTGTAAAAGGTACTGGACCTAGGAAATGCTTTTCTCCGAATATCTTCTTTTTGTTGCCGTTGATCACACATTTTTTGTAGACCAACACGTCTTTCACCTTGCGAGTCACAAACCCCTGTATGTTGAGAGGTTGAGTTTGAAAGAACTGTTTTTATTTTAGGACGATATTGCCGCTTTACCTTCTTTGGTCGTCCTCTTTTTCTAACTGGTAAAGTTTCTGAAGTGTGAGTAGCACCTGAAGATGTGGTCAGATCCTTTGTATCTGAATTGCAATTTCTATTTGGATTCAGTATTTTAGCATTTAACTCTAAGCTTTCTGAAGACACACCACTGCAGCATCCTCGTAAATCACTTACGCTCTTATTTCCATTATTACTTGTAATTCCAGAACAAGACTGAAGCTTGTTTTCAAGTTCTTGATTGCTACAAGTTGTCTCATCCAGTTCCATATTCGTTGCTCTAGAGGGAAAACCATAAAATTCCTCAGGGTACCCTGAACTGTTTGAGTCCTCTTCAGTAATTTCACCATTAAACAATACCATACTGTTTCTGGCAACATTTGCATCATTATTTTCATGTTCATTAATACTGGATGTGCCTGATGCATTCAGATTATGAATGGCACTGACCATCTCTGTTTGACATACACGTCTTGGTGAAGTGTCTTGAGGGGCCCTACTTTCTTCAGTAGCATTCACTGGTATACTGTTTGAGACCCTAGAGGTACGTATTCCTAATATGTTAGCTTCACTGGAACTACCAGTGTTTGTACTGTGTAAACACTCATCAATGTTGTCATCATTCCCAACTCCCTTCACGCTGCATATTTCTGGAAAGAATTCGGTGATGTCGTTTTTCAAATCTATCTCTTCCATAATACTCTGAAAGTATAGTAATAATAAGATTAACATAGCTTAATTACTTTATACTGCATATTAATAATTGCAATGCATTAATGTTTTTAATTAGATTTTGCAAAAAATTAGACTAACCTTATATGAAGGATTCATAGGAGAATTAGTGGAAGAAGTTTGCCTCTCATTTGTGCTATTTCGGGTTAACAAACTCCTATTATCTCTCCACAGCACCAAGGCCTCATGACAGTTGTTACTCTCAGGAATAGAATTTAAAGGCAATTCTCCCAGTTTTTGAGAAACTGAATTAGACCCTACTAAGTTTATTTCAGAGTCTGGAACAATGCTGAGAGCAGATGAATATGCTAAGTTGTCTCCAGTATTTTCATTAATTGCAGGCGAACTTGATAAAGCTTGCCTAGATAATTCTGTTTGTCTTATCTGATTGCTTGCTGTGTGCTGGCTGTCACAATCTGCTGATCGGCTACTGCACTCTTTTTCTTGCTGTAAACTTACAAAGTTTGTATTTTTCATAGTCAATTTCCGATTACACTGTATGTCAGAAGGTTTGGGCATTATCACCCCTCTATCTATGTCTACCTGTGTATGATCATCTATGTTCTCTGAGAGGCCTTTCACTTTAAGAACTGAAGCAGTGTGTAAAACACCAGGGAGAAGTTTTTGCAAGATGTTTGCTTCTCCACTATACATATATGACAGCAGAACTTCTAAATAAACTGATTTAATATCTGCCAAAACAATCACTGGATTCTTGCAATCAAGGTAATCAAAAATCTTTTCAAAATAACTACTACACATTCCCAAGACAATTCTATGAACTGGGAAGAAACGACCTTCACACATTATTGTAGCATCACAGTACTGTTTCTGAAAACAAAAGGCAGAAATTAAAATGTGCTATCAACTCCAGTTTATACAGCAGTTGAAATGTGACACCTTTACATACAAATTGGTATCAGCCACCTGACTGATGCCTTGTATCAACGACATGACTGCTAATATAATCTCGAAAGCTAAAGCAATAATTTAGTAAAGATGTTATTTTCCTTTCATTTTCACACTTTCTTTAATAATCAAAGTTTTCTTATTTAGTATAATAACTATACCTAATTATTTCATTTTCATACAATTTAAGTGTTCCACTGAGAAGCTACAATATCTACCCTGAACTATTTTGTCAATTTTAAGGTCATATAATTGAATTAAGAATTAAAAAAGAATTAAGAGTAAGACGGAGAATAGGATAGCAGATGAACAAGGAGGCTTTAGGAAAGGTAGGGGGTGTGTGGACCAGGTGTTTACAGTGAAACATATAAGTGAACAGTATTTAGATAAGGCTAAAGAGGTCTTTGTGGCATTTATGGATTTGGAAAAGGCGTATGACAGGGTGGATAGGGGGGGGCAATGTGGTAGATGTTGCAGGTGTATGGTGTAGGAGGTAGGTTACTGAAAGCAGTGAAGAGTTTTTATGAGGATAGTGAGGCTCAAGTTAGAGAATGTAGGAAAGAGGGAAATTATTTCCCAGTAAAAGTAGGCCTTAGACAAGGATGTGTGATGTCACTGTGGGTTGTTTAATATATTTATAGATGGGGTTGTAAGAGAAGTAAATGCGAGGGTCTTGACAAGAGGCGTGGAGTTAAAAGGTAAAGAATCATACAAAGTGGGAGTTGTCACAGTTGCTCTTTGCTGATGACACTGTGCTCTTGGGAGATTCTGAAGAGAAGTTGCAGAGATTGGTGGATGAATTTGGTAGGGTGTGCAAAAGAAGAAAATTAAAAGTGAATACAGGAAAGAGTAAGGTTATGAGGATAACAAAAAGATTAGGTGATGAAAGATTGGATATCAGATTGGAGGGAAAGAGTATGGAGGAGGTGAATGTATTCAGATATTTGGGAGTGGACGTGTCAGCGGATGGGTCTATGAAAGATGAGGTGAATCATAGAATCGATGAGGGGAAAAGGGTGAGTGGTGCACTTAGGAGTCTGTGGAGACAAAGAACTTTGTCCTTGGAGGCAAAAAGGGGAATGTATGAGAGTATAGTTTTACCAACGCTCTTATATGGGTGTGAAGCATGGGTGATGAATGTTGCAGCGAGGAGAAGGCTGGAGGCAGTGGAGATGTCATGTCTGAGGGCAATGTGTGATGTGAATGTAATGCAGAGAATTCGTAGTTTGGAAGTTAGGAGGAGGTGCGGGATTACCAAAACTGTTGTCCAGAGGGCTGAGGAAGGGTTGTTGAGGTGGTTCGGACATGTAGAGAGAATGGAGCGAAACAGAGTGACTTCAAGAGTGTATCAGTCTGTAGTGGAAGGAAGGCGGGGTAGGGGTCGGCCTAGGAAAGGTTGGAGGGAGGGGGTAAAGGTTTTGTGTGCGAGGGGCTTGGACTTCCAGCAGGCATGCGTGAGCGTGTTTGATAGGAGTGAATGGAGACAAATGGTTATTAATACTTGATGTGTTGTTGGAGTGTGAGCAAAGTAACATTTATGAAGGGGTTTAGGGAAACCGGCAGGCCGGACTTGAGTCCTGGAGATGGGAAGTACAGTGCCTGCACTCTGAAGGAGGGGTGTTAATGTTGCAGTTTAAAAACTGCAGTGTAAAGCATCCTTCTGGCAAGACAGTGATGGAGTGAATGATGGTGAAAGTTTTTCTTTTTTGGGCCACGCTGCCTTGGTGGGAATCGGCCAGTGTGATAATAAAAAAAAAAATAATCTTTAGTCTGTGCAAATTGCTTGTACAGTGGGCCCCCAGTTATCAGCCGGTTTGGTTATCGGCGGGTTTTTCGGCGCCTGGTTATCGGCCGTTCACTTGGTTATTGGCCGTTTTGAATGTGTCCATCCGCCGGCTGGGGCAGCTTGCGCTTCAGTTTGGCTTTGTCTCTAAGTGGCTGAGGAGGCTTCTGCTCATACATCCAAACCTTTTGCTTGTTTACCATTGTTTTTAGTGGTTTTTCTTGCAGTGCTACTGTGGAATAAGTAAAGATGGCTCCAAAGAAAGTTCCCAGTAAAGTTCCTGTGGTAAAGAAAGTGAGAAACACCATGGAATTTAAGCGTGAAGTGATAGAAAAGTTTGAGAGTGGTATGAAGGTGATGGAACTTGCCAGGATGTACAGCAAGAATAAATCAACTATTACATCCAACCTGGCAAAGAAAGAATAAATCAAAGATGCTAATGTTGCGAAAGGAGTAACTTTTCTAACTAAACAAAGGCCACCAATAATGGAAGAGATGGAAAAGTTATTATTATTGTGGATTAAGAAAAAAGAATTAGTGGGAGACTGTTATGGAGTCAATCATTTGTGAGAAGGCAAAGCAGTTGCATGAGGATCTTGCAAAGAAAATGCCTGGAACAAGTGCTGCAGTTTGTGAATTTAGGGCCAGCAATGGATGGTTTGATAGATTAAGAAGCACAGTGGCATACACAGTGTTGTAAGGCATGGTGAGCCTGCAAGTTCTGACAAATGTGCAGCTGAAAAGTATGTTCATGAATTCCAAGACTATGTAAAGGCTGAAGGATTTGAACCCCAACAAGTGTTCAGTTGTGACGAAACAGGCCTGTTTTCGAAGAAAATGCCAAACAGGACCTGCATTACCCAGGAGGAAAAGGCACTGCCAGGACACAAGCCTATGAAAGACAGGCTTACTCTTTTGATGTGTGGTAATGCTAGTGGGGATTTCAAAGTGATTGTGTGTGATGTGGAAGCTAATCATAAGGCATGGGTCACAAGGCAAATTTTCAAAGAGTGGGTTAATGTGTTTGGCCCAAGTGTGAAAAAATACCTCCTAGAAAAGAAATTGCCACTAAGTGCCTCCTGTTACTGGACAATGCTCCTGCACATCCTCCAGACTTGCAAGACCAAGTGTTTAGGGACTTCAGTTTCATCACAGTGAAGTTCTTGCCTCCTACCACTCCTCTCCTCCAGCCCATGGACCAGCAGGTCATTTCTAACCTCAAAAAACTCTACACAAAAGCAGTGTTTCAAAAGTGCTTTGAAGTGATCCTGGACACTCAGCTGACCCTAAGAGAGTTCTGGAGGAATCACTTCACTATCCTCCATTACATAAGCCTTATAGGTAAGGCTTGGGAGGGAGTGACTTCCAGGACTTTGAACTCTGCTTGGAGAAAACTGTGGCCAGATTGTATATCTAAAGTCTTTATGGAGGGGGATTCCCCTTCCAAACACTAACTCCTCCCTCTTTCCTCCTCCCTATGTTCCAGAAGCCAGCATTAGCCTTCAATAAAGGTATGTAATACTTACATAATTGTTAAAAAAATTATTCTGGGGAAGTGGAACAGAATTCTTCCTCCGTAAGCCATGAGTGTCGTAAGAGGCGACTAAAATGCCAGAAGCAAGGGGCTAGTAACCCCTTCTCCTGTACATATTACTAAACGCAAAAGGAGAAACTTTCGTTTTTCCTTTTGGGCCACCCCGCCTCGGTGGGATACGGCTGGTGTGTTGAAAGAAAGAAAGAAAGAATTTTTGTTTGGATTCAGGTAGTAGGTTGGGAGACAGCAGCCGCCCAGGGAGGTACTACCGTCCTGCCAAGTGAGTGTAAAACGGAAGAGTGTATTTGTTTTACATGATGGTAGGATTGCTGATGTCTTTTGTCTGTCTCATAAACATGCAAGTTTACAGGTACGTCTTGCTACTTCTACTTACACTTAGGTCACACTACACATACATGCAAGCCATGCGTGTTGTAAGAGGCAACTAAAATGCCAGGAGCAAGGGGCTAGTAACCCCTTCTCCTGTATATACAGTGGACCCCCGGTTTACGATATTATTTCATTCCAGAAGTATGTTTAGGTGCCAGTACTGACCGAATTTGTTCCCATAAGGAATACTGCGAATTAGATTAGTCCATTTCAGACCCCGAAACATACACATACAAACGCACTTACATAAATACACTTACATAATTGGTCGCATTGGGAGCTGATCGTAAACCGGGGGTCCACTGTATTACTAAATGTAAAAAGAGAAACTTTCGTTTTTCTTTTTTGGGCCACCCTGCCTTGGTGGGATACGGCCGGTTTGTTGAAAGAAAGAATAATTTTTGTTTGGAACGGATTAATTGTATTTCCATTAATTCTTATGGGAAATATTAATTCGGTTATCGGCCATTTCAGTTATCGGCTGACCTTCTGGAACGGATTACGGCCGATAACCGGGTATCCACTGTATAACTATGGCCTTTCCATGCTTGTCACAGCCTATGATAATTAACCCTTGATAAATAAATAAAATGAATTCTGAAATAAACTTGTTTTATTTTAAAATAAGGAAGCCTATTCATAATTATTCCTGATTAGGAAACTTATTTCTAATCATGAAAACTATTGACTAAAATCCTCTACAGAAAACAAAAATTCAAGCTTAAAAATATTTCATTTGTAAAATATAAAAAAAAAATACTGTATGATAGAATTCTAGAACTTAGATTCAAGTTCTACTAGAGTAATACATGTACTATATTCAAGGGGCAAGTAACCCCTTCTCCTGTATAAATTACTAAATTTGAAAAGAGAAACTTTTGTTTTTCTTTTTGGGCCACCCTGCCTCGGTGGGATACGGCCGGTTTGTTGAAAGAAAGAAAGAAAGATGTACTATATTATTTTAAGACACTCTTCCTGCCCCATCCATACAAGTCCCTTCCATTAATAAGTAACTTCATTCAGGTATACAGAAATACAGTTACATATACATGTATTATCACAGAATGTGTAGAGAACCTAAGATAACCCAAGAAAGTCAGACAAAGTGACTTATTTCCATTGGGGTCCTTTTAATACTTTATTATTATACTATGAAGGAGATAATATCTTATTATTATACTATACAGGAGATATACTAGGAATAAGGTAAAATAAGTTATTTGTTTACATGCATGTTAGCTAAAAAAAATAAAATCATTCTCCTCCCTCTCTGTCCTTACAATTCATTTTGGCTCTCCTCTTGAACTGGTTCATGATATGACTGGCTTTGACATGTGCAGGCAGTCTGTTCCATTCCCTTATTGCTGTACAATAAAAGGTGTTTGAAACCTGACCACTGACTTTGGGTACTACAAAGTTGTGCTCTTTCCCCCTAGTACTATGATTGCTTTGGCTCCCAGTCTTGACAAAATTGGCAGCAAGATATTCTGGACACGTTGGTGAACAATTTTATAAACTTGATTTAACTTCAGTTGTTTTACTCTGTCTTCAACATTCAGCATATCCAACTGTTGTAATTCATCCTGGCCTACATGCTCGGACTCAGGTCCAGGATGAATCATCCACATTTAATATTTCCTCAAAATATTCTTAACTCTTCAATATTTCTACCTCTCCATCTAAAATTTCACCGTTTTCACTCGTAAATGTTATAAATCATCATAGACTACTTCTTGTAATTTAGTCTATTTTTGTGTTTCTTTTTGCTCCCCAATTTCTATCTCACAACATATCCTTTTTCAAATAAAATATGAACTTTTAAATTTACATCTGCTGATAGCATTATTTGAGCTCAACATTCAGTTAAAATACTGCTAGACCTTGATGATAACTTCATAAGAATTTTCAAAGTAACCACCTCAACGCATGAATGGGTCAAGGCAACAATGCCAACTCTTTAGGAAGTGTCTGGAAACCAAGTGGTGAAACAAACTGACAAATTCTAACTGAGGATCTTAAACAAGAATACAAGAAGATATACAGTGGACCCCCGGTATTCGATGGCATCAGTATTCGATAAATCTGGTATTCGATGCATTATATCGCAAAAATTTTGCCTCGGTATCCGATTGAAAACCCGGTATTCGATGCGATTCGTACGAGACGTGTCCACGTATGGCCTGAACTGCCCCGTGTGTGCCAGTGTTTACAAGCCAGCCAGTGTGCACGCATCTAAGGATACATTCAGTACATTCCACATTACCACTGTTTTTGGAGCTTGTTTCTGCAAAATAAGTCACCATGGGCCCCAAGAAAGCTTCTAGTGCCAAACCTTCGAGAAAAAAGGTGCTAATGACTATTGAAATGAAGAAAGAGATAATTGCAAAGTACGAAAGTGGAATGCGTGTGTCGGAGCTGGTCAGGTTGTATAGTAAACCCCAATCAACCATCTCTACTATAGTGACCAGGAAAACGGCAATCAAGGAAGCTATTCTTGCAAAAGGTGCAACTGTGATTACGAAACAGTGACCGCAAGTGTTAGAAAATGTTGAGAGACTGTTATTGGTGTGGATAAATGAAAAACAGATAGCAGGAGATAGCATCTCTCAAGCGATCATTTGTGAAAAGGCTAGGTAGTTTCATGACGATTTGGTAAAGAAATTGCCTGCAACTAGTGCTGATGTGAGTGAATTTAAGGCCAGCAAAGGTTGGTTTGAAAGATTTAAGAATTGTTTACCTGGAGTTTACCTGGAGAGAGTTCCGGGGGTCAACGCCCCCGCGGCCCGGTCTGTGGCCAGGCCTCCTGGTGGATCAGAGCCTGATCAACCAGGCTGTTACTGCTGGCTGCACGCAAACCAACGTACGAGCCACAGCCCGGCTGGTCAGGAACCGACTTTAGGTGCTTGTCCAGTGCCAGCTTGAAGACTGCCAGGGGTCTGTTGGTAATCCCCCTTATGTATGCTGGGAGGCAGTTGAACAGTCTCTGGCCCCTGACACTTATTGTATGGTCTCTTAACGTGCTAGTGACACCCCTGCTTTTCATTGGGGGGATGTTGCATCGTCTGCCAAGTCTTTTGCTTTCGTAGTGAGTGATTTTCATGTGCAAGTTCGGTACTAGTCCCTCTAGGATTTTCCAGGTGTATATAATCATGTATCTCTCCCGCCTGCGTTCCAGCGAATACAGGTTTAGGAACCTCAAGCGCTCCCAGTAATTGAGGTGTTTTATCTCCGTTATGCACGCCGTGAAGGTTATCTGTACATTTTCTAGGTCAGCAATTTCACCTGCCTTGAAAGGTGCTGTTAGTGTGCAGCAATATTCCAGCCTAGATAGAACAAGTGACCTGAAGAGTGTCATCATGGGCTTGGCCTCCCTAGTTTTGAAGGTTCTCATTATCCATCCTGTCATTTTTCTAGCAGATGAGATTGATACAATGTTATGGTCCTTGAAGGTGAGATCCTCCGACATGATCACTCCCAGGTCTTTGACGTTGGTGTTTCGCTCTATTTTGTGGCCAGAATTTGTTTTGTACTCTGATGAAGATTTAATTTCCTCGTGTTTACCATATCTGAGTAATTGAAATTTCTCATCGTTGAACTTCATATTGTTTTCTGCAGCCCACTGAAAGATTTGGTTGATGTCCGCCTGGAGCCTTGCAGTGTCTGCAATGGAGGACACTGTCATGCAGATTCGGGTGTCATCTGCAAAGGAAGACACGGTGCTGTGGCTGACATCCTTGTCTATGTCGGATATGAGGATGAGGAACAAGATGGGAGCGAGTACTGTGCCTTGTGAAACAGAGCTTTTTCACTGTAGCTGCCTCAGACTTTATTCTGTTGACGACTACTCTCTGTGTTCTGTTAGTGGCATACATAATGTGATTAGGCATGGTGAGGCTGCCAGTTCGGACCAAAAAGCAGTTGAAAAATATGTGAGGGAATTCAAGGATTACACAGACAGTGAAGAATTTAAACCTGAACAAGTGTTTAATTGCAACGAAACAGGCCTGTTTTGGAAAAAAATGCCAAGCAGGACCTACATTACTCACGAGGAAAAGGCACTCCCAGGACATAAGCCTATGAAAGACAGGCTTACTCTTCTCATGTGTGCTAATGCTAGTGGTGATTGCAAAGTGAAGCCTTTATTGGTGTATCACTCTGAAACTCCCAGTGTGTTCAGGAAAAACAATGTCCTCAAGGCTAATTTGCGTGTGCTGTGTAGGGCAAACAGTAAGGCATGGGTCACTAGGGACTTTTTCTATGACTGGTTACACCATGCATTTGCCCCCACTGTGAAAAATTACCTAATTGAAAAGAAATTAGACCTTAAGTGCCTCCTGGTATTAGACAATGCCCCAGGTCATCCTACAGACTTGGCAGAGCGACTTTCTGGGGACATGAGCTTCATTAAGGTCAAGTTTTTGCCTCCTAATACCACTCCTCTCCTGCAGCCCATGGACCAGCAGGTCATTTCCAACTTCAAGAAACTGTACACAAAAGCTATGTTTCAAAAGTGCTTTGTAGTGACCACAGAAACTCAACTGACTAAAAGTTTTGGAAGGATCACTTTAATATCCTCAATTGTATAAACCTGATGGGTACGGCTTGGGAGGGAGTGACTAAGAGGACCTTGAACTCTGCTTGGAAAAAACTGTGGCCAGAATGTGTAGACAAAAGGGATTTTGAAGGATTTGAGGCTAACCCTGAGAAGCCTATGCCAGTTGAGGAATCCATTGTGGCATTGGGGAAGTCCTAGGGGTTGGAGGTTAGTGGGGAGGATGTGGAAGAGTTGGTGGAGGAGGACAATGAAGAACTAACCACTGATGAGCTGCTAGATCATCTTCAACAGCAAGAGGCCAGACCTGAGGAAACTGCTTCGGAGGAGGGGATAGAGAAATTGAAGAAGTTGCCTACCTCAAAGATTAAGGAAATGTGTGCAATGTGGCTTAAAGTGCAAACCTTTTTTGATGACAATCACCCTAACACAGCTATTGCAAGCCATGCTGGTGACTATTACACTAACAATGTTGTGAAACACTTTAGGAATGTCATAAAGGAACGGGAGGTACAGGCCACTATGGACAGATATGTTGTGCGACCGAAGTCCAGTGACTCTCAAGCTGGTCCTAGTGGCATTAAAAGAAGGGAAGTAACCCCGGAAAAGGACTTGCTACCTCAAGTCCTAATGGAAGGGGATTCCCCTTCTAAACACTAACACCTCTCCCCTCCTCCCATCCCATCAATCATCACCAGATCTTCATTAAAGGTAAGTGTCAATTATTCTATTGTTATTGTTGTTATTGTAATTATTCTATTGCATTAAACTTAATATTTCATGTGGTAAATTTTTTTTTTTTATATTTTTGGGTGTCTTGCACGGATTAATTTGATTTCCATTATTTCTTATGAGGAAAATTGATTCGCTTTTCGATATTTTCGGTATTCGATGAGCTCTCAGGAATGGATTAATATCGAATACCGGGGGTCCACTGTAGTAACTTTAATGATAATGGAAATATTAAGGTTAGGCTTAGATATAAATCAAGATAAGAAATGGTTATTGTTAAAATACAGTACCATACGTCTGAAGCTGGGCAACATGCGCAAAACTGTAGGATGATGGTCATTCCATCGAAAGTAGATAGCCTGGTCTGCCATGATTATTTCACACTACCTGAAGAAAGAACTTTTTTTAACAAATACCTAAACAATTCATGGAGAAAACAAGAATTTTGGCATAACTTAATCTAAAGCATTACTGCATTCATGTTCCACCAGCATAAAAAGCATGAATTTTCATGAATAGTACAATTAGAAAATTAAAAAAAAATTGCTATATCTCCATAATTGTTCACTATTTTAACTTCTGCAAAATCTTGTCTCAAAATTTTTGACTTGTTTCATGTTCTTTCCTATTACAATTCAGGCTTTGGCCAAACTACCATATGCATACCACAGCTAAATGCATTTGACCAAGTAACAGTGAAGAGGAAAAATATTAAAATGTTGTGAGAGAGGGCAATGGTGAGGGCAGTGGATTACAATATGGATAACACAATACCACCTCACTCCACTAGACATGACATATTTGGCACAAATTGTATGACACCAAACAATATCTGTATGAGGTCCTATATAAAACAATCTCCTTTCACGTATTATTTGCATAGAATAATTAATCCAAGAAAAGTATCAATATGTTTTTCATAGAGTACACCCTAATGAATAAGTTCCCTCTTAAACAATTTCATATGACATATAACAACTTGACTTATTATTATTATTATTATTATAATCAAAAAGAACAACTTGACTTAACTGTAGTATTAGAGATAAACTTAAATTTCCAGTCTATATTTCCTTGATGTGGTGGAATTATCGTGTCAAGTGCAGATGTGGTCCTGAGATTTCCAAGTTAATTTCAAGTAATTTTAAGGTAGTAGTAATCAAATAGAAATTCTAACCAACCTGTAAGATTACTGGTATATTCTCGAGTCTTATTCCTTGGATCAAGAGAACCTCAAACAACACTGAGGGGGGAATCACCTAACTAAAAACAACTTCTCTTCTTCAGGATTCATGCAGTTTTCTTAGAGCTTACTCAAAATAAAAACTCACTAATTGGTTTTGTGAGAAACCTCAGTTGACTTCCTGTTGGGGCTCATAAAGCCACTAACTAAACTTAGGCCTCGTTGAGCCTATCTCCCGGTGTTGACCAAACCTGGGCGGGAATTATAAAAAAAAAAAATAGGTTTCATCTGGAAATAATAACAATTTTGTCATGTTACATGTTTGTACATTATTATAATCAAAGAAAGCGCTAAACAGACAAGGGTTATATGTTTGTACAGTGTAACAATTGGGTGAACATGCCAAAAACCCCTTTATATGCAGAGTATTTCGGCCAAACTTGAGACTAACTTAAGATTAATAAGGCATAACAGTGCTATAATTGTACAAAGAGATCCAATTTGAATGAGATGGACCTCCTAAATAAACCCCAGCACAGCCAGACACCCACCAGAGTCAATAAATTTATTTATGTCAAGATATATAAATTTTAGTTATAAATCATAGATGGTAACATGCGTGTAAATTACTTAAGAAAACTCAAACAAGTCACTTATTTCCACTAAAAACCCAGTTGCCCAGCAGCAGCCAGTGTTTGATGAAGTCTAACATACCAGTGAAGACAACAGGATCAATTCTAGAGGCAGGTGGAACCAGAAGTCATCACAGCAGTGTAGTGAACATTGATGGCGTCACTGATGTTGCTATCAATGTTGGGGTGTGAAGGGGCTCTTACACCTCTCACTCCTACTTACTCTATCAATTAGTAAGTTTATTCAGGTATAAGTAAGTTTATTCAGGTATAAGTAAGTTTATTCAGGTATAAGTAAGTTTATTCAGGTATAAGTAAGTTTATTCAGGTATAAGTAAGTTTATTCAGGTATAAGTAAGTTTATTCAGGTATACACAAATACAGTTACATAGATTATCATAGCAGCATATGTGTAGATTTAGATTTTGCCACCGAAGGGTTAACAGGTGAACATATGGATTTATATCTACGGTTCACTTATCTGTTTGAAGCAAGTTTAGGAAATTTGCTTAGTATATCTGGTATCTTATTTTCATTAAAAAAATATCTTGACATGTCACATGGGTTATTATACTGTCTCTGTATTCCTCAATAAGTGGACAATTAAGCACATAGTGTTCAAGACAGTGACCATATGCCTGATCACATAATTTGCATTTAGTTCAAATTTCAAATTCAAATTCAAAGTTTATTCTCTATAAGGATTACAGTGCTGAGTTTACAGAATTTGGTTATTGTGTGGTTTACATGTAGTAAAATAATAATTACAGAGGGTACCACTAGAACACCTAGCATGGCTAGGCATTTCGGGCAGACGTAGATTAATTCTTAAATTTAAAATATTACAAATTATGAGGTAAGTTGGTATTATGGCTAAGTGACTAAATACTAGTTTGTGAGTTTAGCAATGTGAATGCTTTTGTTTTGGCACAATACATAGTTTCAGTATTGGAGTATCACAGGCCAACTTATGACTAGTTAGGATTCATTATTTTAAGATTGAGATTGATATTTCTGTTTATGGTCAAATGGGTGAGTGAGTGTAAGTGTGAACCACCGGGTGGTATTTGTGTAATTGACGGGGTGTATCAGGGAGATAAGATGTTTTCTAATGGTATTTTTGAAGGTGATGAATGTGTCTGCAGTTCTAGAGTTTTCAAGTAGGGTGTTCCAGATTTTAGGGCCTTTGACATACATTGAATTTTTGTCAAGGTTTAGTCGGACACGGGGAATGTCATAGAGATGCTTGTGTCTGGTGTTATGCCCGTGGGTTCTGTCACAGCTATCAAGAAAGCGTTTTAGGTCAAGGTTAATATTGGAGTTTAAGGTCCTGTAGATGTAGATTGCACAGTAGTAAGTGTGGATGTTCTGAACAGAGAGTAAGTTTAGATCTATGAAGAGTGGGGGGGGGGGGTGTCTTGCCAGGTATATTTGGTATGGGATGGGATTTAGTGATTATTCTTACTGCGGCTTTTTGTTGGGTTATTATTGGCTTTAGGTGTGTTGCTGCAGTTGATCCCCAAGCATAAATAGTATAGGTGAGGTATGGATAAATAAGTGAGTGGTATAGTGTGAGAAGGGCATTTTGCGGCATGTAGCATCGTATCTTGGAGAGGATCCCAACCGTTTTAGTTTGATTATCATCTGTGTGTCTCCCAAACTGCCAGAAGTACTTGTAACCAAGCCTAAGCCTGACCACTACAACATCAGTCAGTACTTGTAACCAAGCCTAAGCCTGGCCACTACAACATCAGCCAGTACTTGTAACCAAGCCTAAGCCTGGCCACTACAACATCAGTCAGTACTTGTAACCAAGCCTAAGCCTGGCTGTGGAAAATACTGTACATATTTTCCAGAAATACAGTAGTTATATGTAAATAGATGGCCATACTGTATTTAATAATATTTATGTCATAGAAAACGAAAGCCTGCGTCTGGGCAGAAGACAGTCGCCATTTTTGTTTTTGAATTGAGTAACAGACATAGTAATGGTAAGAATTTTTCGTGCTCTAGAGGTTAAATTTGGGCTGACACCTCTCAAATAGGAGCCTAAATTGTTGGATGTGCTTTCCTGCATAACTTGAGTATCAGGCGACAGGACAGGACAACTCCAGGAACCTCAGATAAGCTGTCTAATTTATGTTTAAATTCTGGCCAGTAAAATTTTCATAAATGTAGGCAAAAGGGGGGGTCCTGTACATGACACATTAATCTCCAGTCAAATTGGTGAGTGATGTTAAGATATATTTTCCTTCTGTTATGTAAATTGTGTATATATATATAATCCTTTATTAATTTAATATACAGTCCACAAATTTATATATTTACCAGCATTCCTGGTGATGTATTTTTTCATTTGTAATTAATAGGTCCAGAGCAAATTGTGGATATGACAGTGGTAGGTATCGAAGGGGGACATTTTTTGTGACCTAGGTGTCCCAAATTCCTACTTGTCTAACTGATAAATAATAATTATCTTTGTTCATTTACTGCTATGTACATAATGATACATTCAGATAAATGCAATTTTCCAAATTTAATTTGCCCGTTGGTCCTTCTTGAACCGGAGATAATTAGTGAAGTCATTAATTAGTTAATTACTTAATAATTATATGTGAAATGACAGAAGGAGGTGGATGTTAAGTTCACAAATTTACTTAATATGTAGTGGATTATAATTATTACAATATTAATTTGGATAAGCCAAGTCAAGTGTAGCTAATTATATTGTGTATAATATTAATTTTGCTATGCCAAATTCTGGCAAGGATTTATGTTAATTTGCATAATAATTTTAATAAGGCAAGGCTGGCTAAAGGTTTGTATTAATGTACATTTAAAATTTATATAATTTTCTTACATGTAATTGCTAAGCTCAAGTAGCTAGGATTTATTCAAAGGTAAGTTGTACTATTTACCTTTATAAAGTGCATAATTTAGTACATAATCAGTGTTATAAAGCTGAATTTAATACATTGCATCATGGCTGAAAATGAGGAAATTAATATAGAATACACACTCACACGAGCTTTTAAATTTCTGCACAAAATTCAATTTAAACCAGCAAATAATAGAGCCTACTAGACTGAAGAATACACTAGACCTCATCTTCACTAACAATGATGATCTGATAAGAAATGTCACCATATCAAAACAATATACTCAGATCACAACATAATTGAAGTTCAGACATGTATGTGTGGAGCCCCAGACCGACATAATGAGATTAGTCATGAGGGAGCATTCACCAAATTCAGCTTCAATAACAAAAACATAAAGTGGGACCAAGTAAACCAAGTCCTAACCGATATAAGCTGGGAAGTATACTAAGCAACACGACCCCAACTTATGCCTAGAACAGATTAACTCGGGGCACTCGATGTATGCACAAGGCTTATTCCTCTAAGAAAAGGAGGAGTAGATGTAAAATAGAAAGACAGGCGCTCCCTTTACAGGCGACGGAAAAGAATAACGGAGGGGCTTAAAAGAGGTCAATATATCTGAAATGCGTAGGGAGACAATGGTCAGAGAAATAGCAAGCATCGAACTCAACTAAAGGAATCTTATAGGAGTCAGAATGCGGGGGAAGAACTAAAAGCCATAAATGAAATCGAAAGAAACCCAAAGTATTTCTTCTCCTATGCCCAAAACAAAGTCGAGAAACAAAGTCCAGTATTGGGCCCCTACTTAAACAAGATGGGTCCTACACAGATGACAGCAAGGAAATGAGTGAGCTACTCAAGTCCCAATATGACTCAGTTTTTAGCAAGCCGCTAACCAGACTGAGAGTCGAAGATCAAAATGAATTTTTTTATGAGAGAGCCACAAAATTTTGGGTTTAAAACAAGCCTATCCGATGTTATCCTGACGCCAAAAAGACTTCGAACAGGCGATAAAAAGACATGCCCATGCACTCTGCCCCAGGGCCAGACTCATGGAACTCCGTGTTCATCAAGAACTGCAAGAAGCCCCTATCACGAGCCTTTTCCATCCTGTGGAGAGGGAGCATGGACACGGGGGGGCGTCCCACAGTTACTAAAACAACAGACATAGCCCCACTCCACAAAGGGGGCAGTAAAGCAACAGCAAAGAACTACAGACCGATAGCACTAACATCCCTATCAAAAAATCTTTGAAAGGGTCCAAAGAAGCAAGATCACCACCCATCTAGAAACCCATCAGTTCCCACACCAGGGCAACATGGGTTTAGAACAGGTCGCTCCTGTCTGTCTCAACTATTGGATCACCACGGACAAGGTCCTAGTTTGCCTAAAAGACAAAAAGAATGCAGATGTAATATTTTACAGACTTTGCAAAAGCCTTCGAAAATTTGTGACGTGGAGTTTACCTGGAGAGAGTTGGGGTCAACGCCCCCGGCCCGGTCGGGTGACCAGGCCTCCTGGTGGATCAGAGCCTGATCAACCAGGCTGTTGTGCTGGCTGCACGCAAACCAACGTACGAGCCACAGCCCGGCTGGTCAGGAAGATTAAGGTGCTTGTCCAGTGCTAGCTTGAAGACTGCCAGGGGTCTGTTGGTAATCCCCCTTATGTATGCTGGGAGGCAGTTGAAACAGTCTCGGGCCCTGACACTTATTTTATGGTCTCTTAACGTGCTAGTGACACCCTGCTTTTCATTGGGGGGGGTGTTGCATCGTCTGCCAAGTTCCTTTTGCTTTCGTAGTGATTTTCGTGTGCAAGTTCGGTACTAGTCCCTCTAGGATTTTCCAGGTGTATATAATCATGTATCTCTCCCGCCTGCATTCCAGGGAATACAGGTTTAGGAACCTCAAGCGCTCCCAGTAATTGAGGTGTTTTATCTCCGTTTGCGCGCCGTGAAGGTTCTCTGTACATTTTCTAGGTCAGCAATTTCACCTGCCTTGAAAGGTGCTTTTTATGTGCAGCAATATTCCAGCCCAGATAGAACAAGTGACCTGGAAGAGTGTCATCATGGGCTTGGCCTCCCTAGTTTTGAAGGTTCTCATTATCCATCCTGTCATTTTTCTAGCAGATGCGATTGATACAATGTTATGGCCCTTGAAGGTGAGACCCTCTGACATGATCACTCCCGGTCTTTGCTTTGGGTTTTGTTTCCCCTCTATTTGTGGCCAGAATTTTTTTTGGGTACTCTGTTTGAAAAAATTTAATTTCCTCGGGGTTTCCAAAACTGAGAAATTGAAATTTCTAATCGTTGAACTTCAAAAGTTTTCTGAGCCA